GATCAATACAAACAAAACAAAAAATTGTCCGCACACTGATAAGACTGCTCCCAAGGAATTTCTTGGTTCAACGTTTCGACCATCAGGTCTTCATCAGGCACAAAATAAATAAAAACACAAAATCAATCAATCGATCAATAAAATAAAAGTAAACAAATAAAAACCACAATTGACAGAATCTGTGGTAAGTTTCCATCACCATAGGAAATATTTTTCCTTTATTTATTTTTAAAACAAAAACGTGTCTTCCCTTTTCCGATTGTGTCTAAAGTTTCAAAGTGTAAAAACAGGCCAAAAATGATCTGCTCGTCTATTGATAAAGCAGAAACATGCTTTAACCCCATCTATCTCTCACAGCTGTATAATGGGGTTTGTGACCAAGGACCGAACTAAAGCTCTGCTCTATGACAAACATCCCGGGACGTTTCTGTTGCGCTTCAGCGAGAGCAATCGCGATGGAGCCATTACGTTCAGCTGGGTTGAACACGACGCAAACGGTGAGACTTTCCTTCACTCTGACACACTGTGGAACAACAAAAAATACATTTGGTCTTGAAATCAAAACGTCCAAAAACAACAAATTTAGATATGGGTTTTGCTTAAACTTTGGATGGAAATCAAACCCATTTTGCAAATGTAATGCTCATTACTTGGGTTTGGTGTTGTGTTTATTTAGAAGAGCCACAGATTCGCTCCGTGGAGCCCTACACGAAGAAGGAACTCTCTGCCGTCTCACTTCCCGACATCATTCGAAACTACCGCGTGATGGCCGCCGACAACGTCCCGGAAAACCCTCTGCGCTTCCTATTTCCCAGTATACCCAAAGATGACGCCTTCAAAAAATACTACTCCAAACCTACCGACAGTAAGAAACACACAGTCGTAAACTATATAAATTATGAATAAATGTATAAAAGAATGTACATAAACATTTGTTTATCTAGAGCAAGAACCAATGGATGTGGACAAGAAGTTACATGAGGGATACATCAGCACCACTCTCATCTCCATCTCTGAAATGTAAGTCAATATTTAACCCACTTATTGCATGGTGGTCAAAAATGGTCAATTTTTGTTTGTTTTTTTATTTCAGTGAATGTAATCTAGCATAGCGTTAGTTCTGGCAGGTCACGTTAGTCAAGCTCGCATCAGCTGACTCTCAGCTGATCCCCATCAACCTATGGGAATACGACACCTAAGTATTCATATACAGTATAAGGTCCCGCAGTCGTATCAGCAGTTTTCGCATTGCTCAATAGCTAATTACCCTCCTCCATCCCCAGCTCCTCCTCTGTCAGTAAGGATTCAGCCTTCTGATTCTCCTTTGAATCGGACTAATTCTAAAATGTGTACATAACATTATTGAACTTAACTGATATCTGCAATACATTTATGTTGGTTCTGTTCTGTTTACCCTGGGGGGTTATCGCTGCTCTCCCTGCTCTCATCCATGCTAGGCTGCATGGATGCGCAGGGAGTTTTTGCCCAGAACGGAACCATACCGCCAATCCAAACCGTATGCTATTTGTCAATCATCTTTGACGATAGTGGTCCTGACAGAACTATGTTAAACTATTTAAAATTTTGTATTTTTAGGGGATTTTATGGTACTAAATTATATTTATGTAATAGTTATGATTCATTTATTACCCGTTAACCACTTTTTGAGCATAGACCTGAAAAGGAAATTTCTAACTTAAACTGTCATAAATCTTGAATGCTTTGGAGCACAGAAGACACTTGGAGAAGATTATTGCTGAAGTGAAAAAAAGTTAAATAAAGTTAAGTGACACTAAAAAAAAAAAGCTAAAGAAGTTTATTATGAAAAATGCACAAAGTATTATTTCTAAATTTGATATCAAATGTCTATTTTCCGAAACATATTTCACACTAAAACTGTATAAAAATCAACGGCATAAATCTAAACAAGTTGCGTTCCAAATTTGAGGTTAGTATCGCAAAAAATGAGCTGGCAACAAAAACAAAAGATTTTGTTTGTCTGCAGTACCAAATGTTTCCACTAGATGAAATTCACTTCCCAATTATCTTTTTTCAGGACCATTTAACCGTTTAGAATAATGTCCGTGATGTTTGTATTCACATAGCAAGTGCCAAAACCTTTACCAAGTTTCATACCATTTCAATGAAGTAAAAAAAATTCCAAACAACCAAAACGTAAAATATTTCGGTCAGAAATGACCAAACAGCTTCAAAGTGTTAAAGCTGCAACTCCCACAATGTGACATTTCTGTGTTACCAAACAGGATTGCAAAAATAACCGCTTCATTTTATGCTTAATTAATTACTGCTTAATTAAATGCTTCATTTTAGGAAGCCGCAAGACTTTAACACCACACTCATGCCAATGTCACCTGAGGTTTATGGCGAGCTGGAACGCATGGTATGAAAAATGATAATTATACATTTACAATAACAATTGACGCAATACTATTAACAGCAGTTATTCTCTCCATTTCTCTTTATTTTAGAACAGATTCGATACATTAAATTTTGAGGTAGAGTACTATTATTCATATATATATATATATATATATAAATATAAAAATTACATTTAAATAGATGCTGATACTGTTTTTTTCCCCCACAGCCCTCAGACTTAAGTCTCTCTTAAGTGACCTGAAAGGACAGATGATGCAGAAAAGTAGAAATGTTTCCTTCGTTCAGTGTTTTTTTCTTGTAATAATGCAAATGAAAGGGGAACATCTAGTCGAGGTATAGCCACTGGTTTTGGTAGTCCTCTTTTTCATTCTAGCGTTATTAGAAAGACACTGTCTACGCTGTCAGCTATAGCATAAAGACAACCAAATTATCCCCCTTAGTAAAGCTACTGTTACCGCCGCACTTATTCTAGAAACCTTTTTAGACAGTGAAGTTGTGTATGAAAGCACTTCAGATGCCAAGTAACTGAAAAGGGTGAAGAAAGTGAATGAAAAAGCTAGATGGATGAATTTCACACAAACTTATTTTCTGTAAAGAAAATGAAACCTATTTTTAGGACTATTTAGTTTAATCCAGATTTTCTTTACAGTAATGCAAACAAATATTTAATTTAAATGAATGTGAATAAAACTTTTAATTTGAAAACATTTACATAACAGCAGTGTATGTCGTACCAACTTTAATTATTGTAGTACAGGAATTCGACTGTAATAATAAAAAAATAACTGTATTACAGTAATAAAATACATTATGAGAATAATGGGAATGAACATTTACACATTATTGTAAATGGGAGAGGAAATGTGCTGAACTGTCATAAAAAAAAAGTCATAATGCAAAAAATAAAACAGAAATGGTCCTAAAATAGGCTCTCTTTTCTTTAAGCAAGTTTAAGATCCTGAGTTTCCTTTTAAACTAAATCACACAACAAATCCACATCCTGGATTTAAAATGTATTGCAGAAGAAGCAAAGGTGACACTGCAACCCAGTTTGGATGTTTCTTTTGTTGGTTTTCCACATAATTATTCATGAGGCAATTGCTGTAAGACTTCCAGTATGCTTAAGTATTGAAAAATGTTCCTGTTCAAAAATACAGGAACTTCCTGTAGTACAATAAACAGCCAGATACGAAAATTGTCATTTTGGTGCTTTAAAATTAATTTCACTGACACTTAACTAATGTTAATAAATTCAAACTTAGTGTAAGTTATATCGGTTTGAAATACCATACATTTTTGTAAAAAATCGAGCGGGTGAAAATGGTCTTTCAAGTGCTTTGAAGTAATCTCGGTAACAATTTACAGTAAGTTTCAATTTGTTAACATTAAGCAGATAATTCAGAGAATTCCTGTAGTACAATGAAAGTTCAGGTATGAAAATGGTCAGTCTAGTGCTCTGAAGTAATTTTTGTAGCACGTTACAATAAGTTTCAATTTGTTAACATTAAGCAGATAAGTATCAAATACAGGGAATTCCTGTAGTACAATGAAAGTCCAGGAACAAAAATGGTCCTTCTAGTGCTTTAAAGTAATTTTGGTGACACTTCACTAATGTTAACAACTAAAGTATAAAGGCACCAAAATACAGGGAATTCCTGTAGTACAATGAACCGGCAGGTAAGAAAATGGTCCTTCTAGTGCTTTAAAGTAATTATGGCGACAGTTTACAATAAGTTTCAGTTAATATTAGTTAAGCATACAGGTATCAAATACAAGGAATTCCTGTAGCACAATGAATGGGTGCTCTTGGTGCTTTAAAGTAATTGTAAAGTAAGTAACATTACAATAAGTTTCAATTTGTTAACATTAGTTAGATGCTATCAAATACAGGAAATTCCTGTAGTACACTGAACAGGCAGGTATAAAAATTGTCCTTCTAGTGCTTTAAAGTAATTTTGGACACACTTTACAATACGTTTCAATTCGTTACCATAAACTAAACTTATTGTAAAGCATATAGGTATCAAATACAGGAAATTCTTGTAGTATAATGAATGGTCAGGTGGAAAATGGTCCTTCTAGTGCTTTGAAGTAATTTTGGTAAGACTTTACAATAAGTTTCATTCGTTGACATTAAGCACATAGATATCAAATACAGGAAAATAGAAAAAGGTCCTTCTAGTGCTTAAAAGTAATTTCAGTAACACTTCACAATAGGTTTCAGTTAGTTAACATTAGGTAGATGTGTATCATGAATTAACAATCAATAATACTTTTACAACATTTATTAATCTTGGTTATTTGTTCATTTTTACAGATATTAATTCTCTACAGATTCTACATTTTAATTAGATTTTAAATTAATAGTACAAAATATCTTGAACCAATATGAATTAACAAATGAACAAGAATATATTTTTTAATTGCTTAGATTAATAAATTATGTTTATTAGTATGATACCTAAATTAACTAATGTTAACTGTAATTGTAAAACTTATTTTTAAAAACTTCATGTAAAGTGTTACTTTAATTTGATTAAGATATTGAAAAACAAATAAAGCAAACATAAAAATTAAATAAAAAAGTGCAATTTTTTTTAACAATCAAAGAACAGTGTCAGTTGAAACATATTCACAAGATGATACACATAAATAACTACATGTTGATAACTAAATTAAGACTAAAGTAGAGGATAAAGAAAAAGGTAAAAAAATATCAGAATGACACATGCCTTCCAATGCTACGCTCTCCAGTCAAGCTGCCTTTTCCTAGATATCTTTTCTTAAATATCTGACATCATTATACATCTATGAAGGTTCTCAAACCATAAATGAATACACATTAACTATATAAATGTATTGAGTATATTCAATTTATATTGTATATTTACGTAAAGATACAGCTAAATAAGACCTTTATGAGGCTACATTCCACCGAGGGTAAGATAAAACAAAATGACCATGTTAACGGCGGTTACACATCTCACACACACACACACACACACACACACACAAACACCACAACACAGGGTTTTTTTGTGTTTTGCATGTTTTCTTCTCAAATATGTACCTCAGACACACTGGGAAAAAAAACGGAGTGTTTTAACGCAACAGATCATCTTTACAGCATCCCGTCCAGATTCTTCTCGGCCGTCTCCTTGTCGCTGTCGGCAGTGGTCTCCTTAGGGCTGTAAGCGTTGTGATAGTCCTGCAGGATCGTTACGACGTCGTGATGGCCAAAATGAATGGCCTCGTCCATGGGAGTGTTACCCCACCTGTACAGGGATCAAACGGTAAGTTTAAAGCAGGGCTGCCCAAACTCGGGCCTGGAGGGCCGGTGTCCTGAAGAGTTTAGCTCCAACCCCAATTAAACACACCTGACTGAAGCAGCTAATCAAGCTCTTACTAGGCATACTAGAAACTTAAAGGCAGGTGTGTTGTGTTATAGCAATTTTAGATTAAAAGTATTTTTTAAATATTTACCTTATATAAATGTAAAAAAATGTATTATAATAGAATTATAAATTAAACTGATAAAACTAATAAAACTTCAGCATTCATGTAAAAAAATGAATTTAATAAAAAATTATTAACTGTAACCACTGTGATAGAGTTACATTCACAATATTATACTATCCACAACTATTAATATGTTTTTCTTAACTGGAGAAAGTGTTCTATTTGAGATTTGTTCTATTTTGATAGTGATTTATCTATTTGATAAATTAACGGATAGTTAAGTACAGTGAATAGACACATAAATGCATTCAACTATATGAAAATATGTATGAAAATATATTCAAAATGGCTGACAATAAACAAATCAAGATGGTCTCCGAGACAATTTCTTGAATACAACTTTGAGAACATGCTATAATATTGCAGTTTTGCAACAGTCTTGCTATATTTTGTGACCTACCTTTCACATATAGGCGTTTTTAACAGTAATGTTACAAAATAGAATCAGTGTTGTAGTTTCACATTCATACCTGTCTCTGGGCACTGGGTTCACCTTACAAGCCTCTAGGAGAAAACGCACAACCTCAGTGTGACCTGAAACCCACAAAAGGGCACATTAGCAAGATTTCCACTCTGCACATAGAGAAAATGAGGTCAGGCAGAGGAAACAAACAACTAGTCAGAAGTCTGGGGGTTGAAGCACATGATAATATCAACAGTTGCAGAGTTTGATGAGTTCCTGGCACTCCACCTTCAGCAGCAGCTACATGAAGGGCCGTCCGAGAGTCGTAATCTCTCTGCTCCATATCCATTGACGATAGCGCAAACCTGCGCAAAGTGCAAACATACATGAAGTAGGCAGAAACTCAAGGTTTAAATAGCAAATTGTGTTCAGAAAGGCAAAAATAAAAAAAGTGACGACTTAGTGGTGTGGTACCTTCTCAGAGCTGACACGTCTCCTGTGTAGGCCGCAAACAGCAGGTTGATAACCGACTTGACCTGGAAGAAAACAGAGGAGTCGTTTGTGGTACATTAACAACATCAGGACGAAATCATAGCGTTGCCAACTTAGCACAGATCGCTAAAAGATCCAAAAGCCAAAAAAATGACATCAAAGTCAACTTGTGAAACAACAGTTTAAATGTTTTCAAAACGGGGATAAAGAAACAAAAAACACAGAGATAAATAAAATTTGTGTTTATCAATCATTTATTAAACCACATGACAAAATAAAAACAAGTCAACCTAGTTTAAAGGAGATAATCTTATTGGCACAAACAAATGGTTTTTAAAAAGTTGCACTTTTTTCACATTAAGTCACATTTCATAAAGTCAATGATAATACTGAAAGCAAGAAGATCTTATAAATAAAATAAAACATCAAGTTCAAGTAGTCAGTTTAAATGATAGCAAGAGTAAACCATTTCTCAATGGGAAGTAACTTTTAATTCAGTACTTTTTAAGTACATTCATGGATTGGCACAGTGTCAGAAATGATAAGTGAGTCCTTAAACTGACAATATAATGAAATACCTACAGCAAATATTTAATTCAAGTGAAAACTGGGCTAGATACTGGGTTAGATGTAGATGATTTGAGCACAGGATTAAATTTGCATTGTGAAACCATTAGTCACACAATCTTTACTTTACCTGATCACAGTCGACCAGTTTCGCTCTGGTTAGCGTTAATCACTTGTTTGGTTTGTTCTTATACAATGTCTAAACTCCTTCCTTTTATGATTTGCACATAATAAAACATTGTGGCTGCTAGACTAAACCCAAAGGACTGGAATTTATAAAGTCACACTTTAAATTAAAGTAATTAAAAGTTACTTCCCACTGAGAAATGTTTTACACTTGCTATCATTTAAACCGACTACTTGACGTTTTATTTTATTTATAAGATCTTCTTGCTTTCAAGTGACTGGCTTTATTTCAGTATTATCAAAAGTCACAGATTTTGACTGTCTACACTAAACAGTTCTTTCAAATCCATTTACAAGCATTTCTTCACTTGAACCCCAATACTGCCTGAAATAAGTTAACAGAACCTGCACCAAAACTTACATTCAAAATACATTTAGACACATTTAAACATACATTTAGACACATTAGGTAAAAAAGGGGGTCAACGAAAGAGCATAACGTAATTATGTACAAAAAATAAATAAATAAACTGTAAACGTAAAGAATAGTTCTTATGAAGGTATTTGTTGGTTATGCATCAGTTTTCTTAGAAATGTTCTTGGAAAGATGTGTAATTTCTGAGCAGCTAGCAGAAACAAAAAGAATTGCAAAAGTACTTATTGTTTTTAATCAGGCTTCCTGAAATTTTCAGTCAAAACTCAATGTTGCTGTGTTCGGTTGGTTCAGTAGCCAATGAATAATTTACTTCTCTTCTCAGAGGCCTGATATCTCATCACATTAAACAAGTATTTTAATGAAAGGTGGGGGAAAAGAGTCTTAATTTTTACAGTTTTTAATCTAAATACAACGAACAAAGAATCACAATATTACTGTATCGTTACCCAGATATTGATATCATATTGCATTGTTTGGGCCTTGCTGATTCCCCTAACTGTAACATCAAAAAATTGCACGTAAGGTTTAAAGGTCTTTGGCTTGCTTTATAGTGTGCATTTCAGACAAAAAAACTACAAAACCTCCACAAACAAATAAATAACAAAACAATAACAAAAAAACAAAACAAACCAATCCCAACTAAAACAAAAACAACCAAAACAAAATACATTTAAAAAGGCAAAACAAAACACAAAATCAACTAAAACAAAGCAAAACAAAACAAACAAACAACAAACAACAAACAGAAACACAGTTCAAAAAAACAAAACAACCACTCTAATGCCAAAGACTGAAGAACCAAAGAAAATGACTGGATGATAGGCTGACAAAACATGGAAGGAAGGGTGTGCGTGGTTGTCTCTTCTAGTTTCTTTCCGCCACGCTTTCCATCCTATAGACTACAGTGGAAGAACTGTCCTCGCTTGTTTCAGAAGGACAGACCTTTTTCCACACTTTGTCAGTAAGCGCTAGTTCCTTCTGAAGGCTTGTATAGTCCAGCGGTTCGAGATTCTGCTGCTGCTGCGGTTCAATCAATACGGACACGGATAGATTATCAGATTAGATTATTTCATTATGGAATTTGCTGCTTGGATTAGTATAGATGGCAGAGAAAGAAGCATCCTAAATTGAGGCACATGGATGGAAGTGAAGTTTAAAAGCAGAGAGTATGCTGGTCCTCCAGCAGAGGGCAGACAATGAAGAGGAAAAGAAATATGCATTTGCTAAGAGAAGTGAAATGTTCAATAATACAGGTTAACATTGCAGGATAGTTAGCATTATTTGGTTTGTCCGAACACATACATCAAAACATACGCACACACTCTCATTGTCAAAGTAACAGGATCCTTTGCATAAGTTGCACCTAGAGGTGGGATATACAGTGGCCCCAAAAAGTTAATGGATGCTTAATGCACAAATTGAATTGCATTAGATAATAAACTGCATCATTATTTGTTTTGTACAACAACATTCAAATATTTAGAATGGTTATTGCCCACCCCTAGTTGCATCAGTTGCATGATTTCTGTGGTTGGAAGGTCGGATCTGTCACTCACCCGCTGGTCTCCGCCCTCTCGGCGTGGATCCAGTTTCTTGGCAAAATGCCGTAAATTATCATAGTTGTGGAAATTAAAGAGCTGGAGCAGATCCTGAAAGAAAAAGAAGACTTTAATCAATGTGAGCAAGAAAGCCACCATTGTAACAATTCATTAGCTGAGATGATATAGATTTATTACCGTGCAAAACTGGATTCCTCGCACACTATTGCCCAATTTGTCAAGAGGAGGAGACCAACACATAATGCCCATCACATTGGGGACCACCAGCAGGATGCCTCCAGAAACACCTGATTTAGCCGGGAGACCAACCTACAGTACAACACACAACCTGAGTTTGTTGCAGACTGTGAACGTGTTTTTCTTACATTGAACATAAAACCATCAGACATTTCCCCAGGTGTGGACATGTGAAACTCACATGGAAAGCGAACTGTCCAGAGAAGTCGTACATGCCGCAGGAGTGCATGAGACTCAGAGTGTCTCGTACAGCCTCGGGGTTCAGCACACGCTCGCCCGTGATTGGACAGAAGCCGCCGTTTGCCAGGGTAGCTGCCATCACACTGGCACTTTCGCAGGTTACCTCAATGGAGCACAGCTAAAGAAACAAAACAAAAACATTTAAATCATATATTTTCTGATATTTAAATATTAACATTTGCATACTGCATCTAAATATTTAATTGAAATAAATAAATACATATAATAGCACAGAATGCTTAAAGGAATAGTTCACCCAAAAATTAAATATTATGCTGAAAAATTACCCTCAGGCCACCCGAGATGTAGATCTTGGATCATTTGCTCCTATGGATCCTCTGCAGTGAATGGGTGCCGTAAGAATGAGAGTCCAAACAGCTGATAAAAACATAATCCACAATAATCCACACCCCTCCAGTCCATCAATTAACATCTTGAAGCAAAAAGCTGCATGTTTGTAACAAACCAATCCATCATTAAGAGGTTTTAACTTCAAACCATTGCTTCCAGCTAAACTAGACGTCAGACGTCAGACGAGGCGACTATTTCACTGGAAGAAGCAATATTATGGATAGAGGACTCGTATTTTAGCTGGAAGCAATGGTTTGAAGTTAAAAAAGTCTTAATGATGGAGTAGTTTATTACAAACATGCAACTTTTAATCTAATTGATGGTCTGGAGTGGTGTGTATTATTGTGATGTTTTTCGCAGCTGTTCAGACTCTCATTCTGACGGCCCCCATTCACTGCAGAGGATCCATTGGTGAGCAAGTGATGGAATGCTAAACTTATCCAAATCTGTTCAGATGAAAAAAAAACTAAAAACTAATCTACATCTTGGATGGCCTGAGGGCCTGAGGTTCTAATTTACATTTTTTGGTGAACTATTCCTTTCATTCTTTGTTGTATCTATTGAAAAAAATGGTGTAAAATACTTACAAAATCCTACAAAATCTATTTAATGTAGTAATGCGTTAATGTGGAAAATAAGTAACAAGTTAAATGTGGAATCTTTTTAACTTTCTTTAAGTTTGACTATTCAGTAAAATTTCAAAACAGTAACCATACTTTAACATTTAATATTTTTTCTGTATGTGTTACTATAAAAAAAATGTAATACATTTCTTAATTGTTGGAAGCCTACATGTCTATGCACATATTCAACATTCATTTCCAAATTGAAAAATTGTGTGCAAAAAAGGCTGTTTAACTTCTACTAACCTGGAAGTAAAGGTCCAGGATGGAGATCATATCTGTACCCTCTGGGAAACACTGGAAGAATGGGGGGGGGGAAATAAAATTGAATGTTTTTAGTGAATTGTCAATGGTCCCTAATTGCTATAAAATGTTTAAACACATACCTTCTTTTCCTTCAAGTAGTAACCAATGGCAAAGTTTCTGTCACCTGACAGTCGCTCTGACTGAAACCTACCAACAACAAGAAAGTACTTACAGAAAGAACTTTAATTTTAAATGACAATAAAACAACTTTCTTCAATTTTCACAGATACTACTGGTAAATGTAATACACAATTACAAAGAAATGGCAAGCAACAAACTTAAATGTGAATTTTTTAACATACTTCAATAATCGGTTTTATTCACAAAAAATAGTTTCAGTTGATTGTGTTTTGATATTGATAGTTTTATTTAACATATTTGATTACTTTTGTATTTTACATTTTGAAATGTTCATTTGAATACTACTGTTAGATATTTGTACTCTATTGTTTGCTATTTGTTTCTACTGTACTTAATACTTCTACTTAAATATTTACTTAATTGAGAAATATCTGATATTGAGAATAATGAAATTTCACTGCTATCAGCATAAAAAAAACACTTACGTAGCATTGCTAAAACCAACATATTCATTTCCTGCCAAGTTCTTCATAAAGTTCATCACCTAAAACAAAACACTTCATTAAACACAGCAGCTCTCAAAATGATAAACAGTAAAAATCTAAAAAGAGTTATGCTGTACTATTATACTTACATAGTCAAACTTCTCAGCGTTGCTTACGCTTTGCTGAAAGTCAAAAAGAAACTGCATGAATGTGTTATATAATTGAAACAAATTGTTTTGTAGAGTTACACACAAACTTCTTAATGCATAGCCATTCCAGTTAAAGGAAACATTATTAAACTAACACAATATTTATACATAAAAATTAAATATTATGCTGAAAAATTACCCTCAGGCCACCCGAGATGTAGATCTTGGATCATTTGCTCCTATGGATCCTCTGCAGTGAATGGGTGCCGTAAGAATGAGAGTCCAAACAGCTGATAAAAACATAATCCACAATAATACACACCCCCATCAATTAACATCTTGAAGCAAAAAGCTGCATGTTTGTAACAAACCAATCCATCATTAAGAGGTTTTAACTTCAAACCATTGCTTCCAGCTAAACTAGACGTCAGACGTCAGACGAGGCGACTATTTCACTGGAAGAAGCAATATTATGGATAGAGGACTCGTATTTTAGCTGGAAGCAATGGTTTGAAGTTAAAAAAGTCTTAATGATGGAGTAGTTTATTACAAACATGCAACTTTTAATCTAATTGATGGTCTGGAGTGGTGTGTATTATTGTGATGTTTTTCTCAGCTGTTCAGACTCTCATTCTGACGGCACCCATTCACTGCAGAGGATCCATTGGTGAGCAAGTGATGGAATGCTAAACTTATCCAAATCTGTTCAGATGAAAAAAAAACTAAAAACTAATCTACATCTTGGATGGCCTGAGGGCCTGAGGTTCTAATTTACATTTTTTGGTGAACTATTCCTTTCATTCTTTGTTGTATCTATTGAAAAAAATGGTGTAAAATACTTACAAAATCCTACAAAATCTATTTAATGTAGTAATGCGTTAATGTGGAAAATAAGTAACAAGTTAAATGTGGAATCTTTTTAACTTTCTTTAAGTTTGACTATTCAGTAAAATTTCAAAACAGTAACCATACTTTAACATTTAATATTTTTTCTGTATGTGTTACTATAAAAAAAATGTAATACATTTCTTAATTGTTGGAAGCCTACATGTCTATGCACATATTCAACATTCATTTCCAAATTGAAAAATTGTGTGCAAAAAAGGCTGTTTAACTTCTACTAACCTGGAAGTAAAGGTCCAGGATGGAGATCATATCTGTACCCTCTGGGAAACACTGGAAGAATGGGGGGGGGGAAATAAAATTGAATGTTTTTAGTGAATTGTCAATGGTCCCTAATTGCTATAAAATGTTTAAACACATACCTTCTTTTCCTTCAAGTAGTAACCAATGGCAAAGTTTCTGTCACCTGACAGTCGCTCTGACTGAAACCTACCAACAACAAGAAAGTACTTACAGAAAGAACTTTAATTTTAAATGACAATAAAACAACTTTCTTCAATTTTCACAGATACTACTGGTAAATGTAATACACAATTACAAAGAAATGGCAAGCAACAAACTTAAATGTGAATTTTTTAACATACTTCAATAATCGGTTTTATTCACAAAAAATAGTTTCAGTTGATTGTGTTTTGATATTGATAGTTTTATTTAACATATTTGATTACTTTTGTATTTTACATTTTGAAATGTTCATTTGAATACTACTGTTAGATATTTGTACTCTATTGTTTGCTATTTGTTTCTACTGTACTTAATACTTCTACTTAAATATTTACTTAATTGAGAAATATCTGATATTGAGAATAATGAAATTTCACTGCTATCAGCATAAAAAAAACACTTACGTAGCATTGCTAAAACCAACATATTCATTTCCTGCCAAGTTCTTCATAAAGTTCATCACCTAAAACAAAACACTTCATTAAACACAGCAGCTCTCAAAATGATAAACAGTAAAAATCTAAAAAGAGTTATGCTGTACTATTATACTTACATAGTCAAACTTCTCAGCGTTGCTTACGCTTTGCTGAAAGTCAAAAAGAAACTGCATGAATGTGTTATATAATTGAAACAAATTGTTTTGTAGAGTTACACACAAACTTCTTAATGCATAGCCATTCCAGTTAAAGGAAACATTATTAAACTAACACAATATTTATACATAGCCATTATAGACTGAGATTCTATAAATTAGATTGACAGTTGAAGTAAAAAAAAAAATCTCTACAGCTTGAGAAGCATTTCAAGTGAAGAATGGAAAAAATAAAGGATTCTAGCTCACTAGATTTGAGTAACATCATTGAAAGAAATAAAGGCAAACAGTGTTTGTGTCCAAGTAAGTACTATTATTGCTGTGGAATCACAAATGTAAGTTGTTAAAGGGGTGTGGGAAAATCAGACAAAACTAAAAGTTTAAAAAAAAACACTAAATTGTCAAGTAATTTGAACTGTGTGCTGTCTGTAAGTATGTTTTAGTAGAGTTCTAAAGAAACTCATGTAATGCATTGATTTGAGGCTCTAAAATAATTTTTTCCACATTGAAGAAATGTTTATTTACACACAAAAAATAGTACTGTATCTTACTAAATACTTGAATTTTGAAGTTAAAAAGACTAAAAATTAAAACAAAAATAAAGCTGGATTCTGAAGTAATTAAACAAAATTACATTAGATTTTCTGTCAAAGCAATGCATTTGTCAGACTTGCGCTAATGTAGCTTAGCGTTAGGCTTGGTTTGAAATTTGTTCAATGAGGAAAAACAAATAAATGAAAGGGAAATTACCAACGTCATTGACCTGTTGGAGGGTCAAAATTTCCCACAGTTCCTAATGCTGTAAAATACGCAACAACAATAAAACCACAAAAAGCCTTCACACAGACATCACATATTACCATCTCGACAGGCCTGAGAAAGATGCGTATCATGCAGAGGATTTACCTTTAACACCACAAACGGTCATCACAAATTCATCAATTACTAAAAAAAGTTAGCTTGTTATAAACACATACTTGTACATGTTTGCAATATTGTTTATAATAGTGTTAACAGGTCAACAAAGCCCTGCATTTCTAATGGAGGGTTTAGCAAGGATGCTAACTACAGATTGTGACTATTTTCTAACATTCTGACTGCTCTCAGAAGAATAAAAACATTTGATATATATATATAGCGTATTTTGTCTTCCTCTCATCTCTCGTTTTGTTTCTAAAGTGGTCATTCTTCAATCACATTGCTCTTTCAAATTCGTTCTTTCTCGCAATGGTTTGCTCTTTTTCCCTTATCTTCCCCCCTCCCACTTCTATTTCTCTCTTCAATATAATCCTTTCAGCGTGATTATTCATAACCTTAATCTGATGAGAGAGGGAAAGTAATCAGATTAAATCCATTCGTCCCTCTGATCCGTTCTCATGTCAAACATCCACAAACACATCAAGCTAAACATTCGGCAAGGCACTTTTAGGTTATCAAATTAGGAAAAAAACAGGAACGCACAGCTATAGCAGATTTGGGCCCCCATTTTATCAAAAAAGGATGTAAAGATGAGAATGTGGTTTACCTTGAGGAGAGAAGTGCAAACTATGGCGCCAGCGTTTACCATGGGATTATGAGGTTTATCTGAAAAAATAGATGAATCAATCAATAAACAAAGATGACTGTGAGCGTATGAAGCTTGTTTTTGGGAACATTAAAGGAACAGTTCACCCAAAAATGAAAGTTTTCTGGAAATGTTCTCACCCTCAGGCCATCCAAGATGTAGACGAGTTTGCTTTTTCACTGGAACAGGTTTGGATAAATTTAGCATCGCATCACTTGCTCATCAATGGATCCGCTGCAGTGAATGGGTGCCGTCAGAATGAGAGTCCAAACAGCTGATGTTAACATCATCTTGTGAAACCAAAAGTTGTGTTTATAAGAAACAAATCCATCATTAAGAGTTTTTTCATTTTTAACCTTTGCTTTTGGCTACAATAGGAGTTCTCTATTAATAATATTGCTTTTTCCAGTGAAACAGTCATCTCGTTTGAATCAGGAAAGAAATCTGCACAGATCAAGCACCGTTTACAAGCGAAAACAGTCCAAAAGAGTTCTAAACAAATATGTAGGTGGATTTTGATATGAGAGGACAACAGGAGATGGACTTTTTCACTGGAGGAAGCATTATTATGGATTATGGGTATTTTGGCCTCATGCACCAGTTTAATAAAAAAATTTAAAAAACCTTAACGACTGATTTGTTTACTACAAACATGCATATTTTCAATTCACTAGATGTTAACTGATGGACTGGAGTGGATTATTTGTGGATTATTGTGATGTTTTTATCAGCTGTTTGGACTCTCATTCTGACGGCACCCATTCACTGCAGAGGATCCATTTCTCCAAACCTGCTCAGGTGAACAAAACAAACTCATCTACGTCTTGGGTGCCCTAAGAGTGAGTACATTTTTTTTTTAGCAAATTTTCATTTTTGGGTGAACTATTCCTTTTTTAGTTTTTTTATTTACCATCTTCGTTAAGAAAGAGTTTGTTGAAACGCAGACCGCTGGGTTCCTTCCCTATAAATCGGTGCACGTATTCAGTGCCGTGATCGTGAACAGCAACTGCGTATTTTAATGGTTTCACGCACGATTGCAGACAAAATGGAACTTTCGTGTCACCTGCCGTGTACCTGTAACACACAAAACATCCGGTTTAGATTTTCAACAGAGCTTGGCATAAATGTTTGAGAAAACAAATTATGTTTACCAGAAAATATTAACAAAAATGAAGCGAAATCAAAACAATGTAGCAATTGTACTAAAGACAGAAATCTCACCGTTGGCCATCTACAGTGCACAGGGCAACGCCCCAGAGATTAGGGCTAAATTTAGCTAGTTGAGGAATGTAATCTGCCACCTAATACAATAAAAATGTGACAAAACAGAATGTAAAATAATCAGTAAAAAACAAATAGTATCAGAGATTCACACTGTGTTGGATTATCTTATTTTATAACTGTACCTGGCCACCCGACAGTGATTTAGCACTCTCATAAATTTGATCGATGTGAGAGGTGAATGACTGAAAGTCAGGAATGACAAACTTTTTCCGGAATGCCTGCGTTAGCAACACAATGTTGCTTTGCACACACCTATAGGAAGAAAAGTGAAGATTATGATTTATCTTTATTAGCATCAGTATGTTCATCCAAATCCAAACAAACATGAACACTTACATAAAAAAAATATATATATATTAAATACTGAATACAATATCTTCACTGACAACTACAATATAACCACAGGTCACTCAAAAAAAAAATTTGGTAGTATAAAAACCTGTATGATGTAGTGTTGTTTTAGTATTACTTACTATTATAGTTTTTGTTTTTTAATTGGATTTTATTTTTAGATTTTCCATTTTCACTGTAAGTTTTAGTAATTTTGTTGTGTTTATCATTTGTATTTTTACGTTTTAAATAAGTAGTTGATGTAGTTTTAGTTATTTTACTATTTAAAATTAAACTAAACATTATTTTAGGTTAACCAAAAAAATTATATATGTATGGTTTTAGTTTTAGAAACAATAATAACAAACCTGATATGATGGTATGTTCAGGCCTTAAGCCATTTTTCTCTATTTTCTGAGTGAAACTGAATAATTAATATACTGCAGGACTATAACAGGCCTTTAAAAAACTCAGTGACCCCTGATTTGATGTGTCCTTGGAAAATGGCTGATCTATGAAAGCTCATGCTTAAAGGGATAGTTCACCCAAACATTTTTATTCTGTCATTAATTACTCACTCTCATGTCGTTTCAAACCTGTAAGACCTTCGTTCATCTTCAGAACACAATTTAAGATGTTTTGGATGGAATGTCTGAACCTGCATAGACAGCAACACAACGCTGTTTACAGGGTGATGCGAAGGAGACGAATTGTTGAATAAAGTCGTTTTTTTTTCCTTTTGCACACAAAAAGTATTCTTGTAGCTTTGTATAATTGCGGATGAACCACTGATGTCACAAGGATTATTTTACTGATCTCCTTGCTACATTTCTGGACTTGGGAACATTTCAGTTGTGTTGCTGTCTATGCAGGGTCAGACAGCTCTCAGATTCCATCAAAAATATCTTAATTTGTGTTCCGAAGATGAACGAAGGTCTTAAGGGTTTGAAACGACATGAGGGTGAGTAATTAATGACTGAATTTTCATTTTTGGGTGAACTATCCCTTTAAGTAACGGTGACGGGTTTCAGCCATCTCAATAGTACACTGACTGCAGCAACTTCATGTTTGAAGGCTACATATGTTAAATGGATGCTCAAAAATAATCCAGGAACTAGAAAACAAACAAAAAAAAACACTACAGCCAATATATTCTTATTAAACAAAAAAACGAAGTCAGTTGTCATTTCATCCTTTAAGCAAACAGGGTTAAGTTTAATATTGCCCATTTATTTACTTTTTGAAGAGATGTCGATCCAGAGCACCATCTGATGTGGTCTTCAGGGTGACTTTTAACATCTCCATACACTCCTTAAGACGAGGGTCTCCAGTACGCAGACCTGTGGCTTTCAGCGCCTGAAAAACAACAACATTTAGCCTAAATTTACAACAAATCTTGTGTTTTGTTTAAAACCCAATGAACTTGAAAACTGACACAACTATTTGGTCTATAAACCAAGATATGTGTTATAAGAGATACGGTAGCGATAGCCTTGCTCTTCTTGGCCAGCTGGTGTTTGGTTTTACCGTGGTAAATTTGTGAGCTGGAATTTTCTCCTGGCCATCTGCAATGGTGTAAAACAGCAGATCTTCCAGGCTGGGCAAAATGCCTGCCTTCCTTCTCCTGTGATGTGAACAGATACACAGAGAATACAGTAAGCAGACAGAAAACTAAAATAGACGGTATACTCAACAAAAAGGGTTTATCAGCAGCAGGAGATGTCGTACTGAAATTCCATGTCATTTTAGTTTCAGAATTATTACTCGCAAAATGCCAGTCAGTAGGTTTCAGATTGGATAACAAAGTTGTTTTTGAATTAAACCAATTTCATCTTCTTTGTAATTTTCAAAAAATGTCAGACCCAAAATATACTCTATGCCAGTGTTTCCCAACCGGGGTTATTTGGATAATTGGTAAAAAAAATAAAAATAAAAAAAAGTTAAATATCTTAACCCTACCGTTAGACCTACCTGAAAAACTAAAAAGCAATTTATTTAATTCAAAGGCCTGTCGTTATTTTTTATTTGTGCTATCATTATTCATTTCTTTATTTGTTCTTATTTTATTACTGACTGCTTACTTCTCATTTTTTATTCAATTTAAAGTTTGAAATCAAGCCATCTCGTGCTACTGCACCAAAATTACCCCACTGTAAACTTAAAAAAAACACTGAGTGAGCAAAAATTTGTGAGATAGCTAGTTATAATGGTAATTAAATAATGTTTACATATGCATAAAAGCCTACATTAAAATCTGTCATATAAATTGGTCTCTTCATTAGAAATTAGCCTACTGATTGCAATTAAAAATATCTGTATGACATTATATTCTGCAGTTCTTCCCTGTTGTACCGAATATCTATACTTTTCAAATTATATCAAAGTTAGAAATTCAAATATTGTGACAAAATAAATTTTGTAGGGTACCACAAGTTTGTCAAATTTTCCAAAGGGTGCCGCGACTAAAAAAAAAGTTGGGAAACACTGCTCTATGCAAGTAAAAAGTCGCATTCTCAAAGTCTGCCATTAGGGGTGCTTCTTCTTGGTCAGTTTTACACAAGGTATTTAGAATTGAGTTAAGGTGATTAACTGTTAGTTAGCTAGATCACATCAACATAAGCATATCTGCTTATGGGAAGAGTGAAGGGAAAATGCGTTTTACCCCTGACTGACATTGTGAGATCATCTGAAACCCTTTTTTTTCTCAGAAAAAAGGTTAGTCTGTTAGAAAAGGTGGTTATTTAACATTATTCAGGTTTGCAAAAGTTAACATGTTAAGCAGGAGCCAAGTAAAGCATTTGGGAATAACACGTCCAAGGACTTCCTACAGTAGGTTCAGAAGTTCCAATGGATTGCATTCTGGGATAGCTACACAATACAGGCTTTGAAAGCACTCTGGTTTACAGTCTGACCACAAACCATCCAGAAATGAACTTAAGAGTGTCTGGACATTATTTACGTTGGTGGAAAACTACTGTTCTAAATACATTGTTGGTTGAAACAATGGCCACCAATAGCGGCTCAAGACCTTTGTGATGTCATTTCGGGATGATACATATGGTTTTAGAACACAGAATGGGAATGTTCTTCAGCGGGGATAACAAAGCATAGCGTTTTGTAAGAAATAACTGGAAGAAAGAAAAAAAAAAACACACCAAATAAAATGAACCAGATACTTACACAACAAATGCAAAGTATGCAGACAACCAAAAGAGAGAGAGAGAGAGAGAGAGAGATAGAAAAAGAAATAACAGAAATTAATGAGACATCCAGACATATAAAACACTGGAAAAATAAATAAACACATAGGAATGCATATGTATTATTTACGCAGTTTCTAAAACCAAACTGACCTCTGATTTAATTAAAATAGAGATACTAGGTTAGTTAATGACATACCCACAAAGCACAAATCAAATTATAACAAAAATTATTTTAATGATACTACTGTTTATAGCTTTTGGAAATGACACAGAGGGGAAATAAATCTCAAAACATTAAAATTTTGGTTGATAAATCGGTTTTGGAGATTTCAGCCTACAGTCCAGACCAGTGCTGGGGAAAGTTACTTTTCATTTCATTTCATTTCTTTATAAAGCACAATTAAACACAACAAAAGATGAGACTGTAACTCAGATTTAAAATCACATACGGAAGACACAGATAAGGGAAGACTGTTCCATAGCCTAGGCTAGGACTGGACACTGCAAACATCTCTAAACTTCTATCTTGATCTTGGATATGACAGAGTAATACTGACTGAGGATCGCAAGCATCTTTTAAAACTTTTAAAAGTAATACATTACAATATGGAGTTACTCCATAAAAAGTAACTAATTGCATTACTCAGTTACTTTTTATGCAAGTAATGCATTACGTTACTTTTGCATTACTTTTTTGTCACCTGGGCTGGGCTTGCTTATTTGTTTTTAATAACAAAAAAGCAAAAGGTAATATATTTGGCAATTGTAAAGGCCCTTTCACACCAAAAGTGAAATGAATAAGCCTCAGCCTCACTCCCCATTTCTCTCAACACAGGGACGGGCATGTCAGTGAATATTGTATATTGTTCTAAATTTAAAAGTAATGCATTAGTTTACTAGTTACTTGAAAAAAGTAATCTGATTACGTAACTTGTAATGCGTTACCCCAACACTGGTCCAGACTAGGCTTGCCGCGATAGACGGTGCTGACGGTGATACCGGTGTTAAGCCTCAACACCGGTTACGTCACTTGCCCACCGCGTTTAGATTCCGACCCCCACCGTCGTTTAGATTTTTTATAGTAATAAAAATTATTTAGTTCAGTAAAAGAACAGACACCACAATTAAAAACTGAACGTGGCTGCTTCAAAGCAGCGTGCTGAACGACAGTAGCATCACAGATCAGATTTCATTTCTCCAGTGAGGAGAGGGAGTCGAGCTGACTGACAAAAAGAGTGAGTTGACGTGAGACAGACAAGAAGATGGCGGATGATTTAGTTTCGAAACGAAATGCAAAAGCGCCTGTTTGGCAATATTTTGGATTTTGAAAACCTGTTGACTTCTGCCGTTTATTTATTTATTTTTAAAACATTCGTTTCTTATTTAATTGGCTCCACATTGTTTGCTGATTTTTACTTTATTTAAACCTTTTGTCATTTTATTTTATTTGACATTCGTTTTGCTAATAAACGTTCTACGTTTTTTATTTATTTGGTTATATATTATACAATTTGACTTATTTCCAGTTTTGTATACTTAACTTTATGTAAGTTATTTGTTATTTTATATTAGGCATAGTCTGCCCTATAGCATGGTGTATTATTATTTGTTTTGTTAATACAAGTTCTATGTTTTATATATAGGCTAAAGTGAGTTTGACGTTGTATTTTGTTGTTGCATTCAAGCAATTGACGCCGGACAGCCGCTATTTCAAAAGTGAACGTAAAATGCGCATGGCGCTTTTAAGCTATTTAAAAGCGAAGGAAAGCGAGGAAAAGAGGGAAAATTCAAACGAATAATTGCTTTACTCCGAACTGCCGCTATTTGAAAGTGAAAGTAAAATGCACACACCACTTTTACAAGCTATTTAAAAGCGAAGGAAAGCGAGGAAAAAGAGGAACGCCCCCGCCCCCACGGTGATACCGGTATTACCGGGGTTGTCACACGTCGATTAACCAGTGGGAACATTTCTTCAACGGCACAACCCTAGTCCAGACTATTGCTAAAAAGCTATCAGACACACACTATTGTGTACAAACACAGCCAGCGCTCTGATGACCTGGCAAGGTATTAAACTAGGACACGTAACCTGACGAGAGCAGCCACCCCTCCCGTCCCAAAGGCGAGATAAGCCTTCACTTCCTAGCAAGGTCTCAGTTCTGATCCTCGCTAATGCACCACGCCAAACGTACTCTCTGATGCCGCTATTTTTACACACTGGAAATAATCCACTTGATGACACAGCTAAATAAACACTCTGTTTATTTGCTTTAATGATGGGATGAGTTACGTGAGATGAGAAAAGTTGATTAGCATCCCCACTGGATTGCTTCTGAAATGTATAAACAATTATACTTCTATTTTAAAGTGTCACCATTTTTCAAAACATAATACGTACACCTCTTATAAGTGTTTTTTGTTCTTCTTTTTTGCTAATCTACTTGTAAACAACATACAGACCCTTACAAAAAGTACTGTGGTGGTACCACGGTACTGAATGATTACCATATTCAAGTACAATGTGAATATTTTTAAAAGAGTTCATCTGTGTGGTAGGTTAAAAAATGAGAGAAAGAGACATAGGCTACGTGTGTAATATTTGTGTATTTGTAAGAGAAGAGGATGAGGATGTTAACTGACTTGGAGGCAGTCACATCTGGCTATAGATGTTCTGCCTGATGTGTTATTGATTGTGGTTTATTTTAAAGGATTTGCTATTTCAGTTGTTTTATGTTACTATATTTTGTACCTGTATGCATGTATGGTTGTACTGCTGCCTATCTTGGCCAATGAGTTTCCTCCTGGTTAAATAAAGGTAAAGAAGAAGAAGAAGGTTTCATGTTTATGTGGGGAAATGTCTGAAAATGCCTCCAGAAGAATTGCAAACCATGTCAAAACATCCTTGTGGGGACAGCTGTGTGTGTGTGTGTGTGTGTGCGTGCGTGTGTGTGAACACGTGTAAGTTAAATGATTCTGTAACAATATCTTCATCATCTTCTTCCACTTCAACAAGAATTGGTCAAACAACCAGCAAAACAGCTGATATTCACATAGAATCGCATGCTTATAGATCCACTGCAACATATTTTGGCTTGCAGCGAATAAAACACCAGAAAATGAACCAGCTGCCACAAACTGAAAAATACCGTGGTATGGTATTACCATGGTTTTCTAATCGAATATCCCACTATACACGCACAAAAAAAACAAAATGTGAAATGCTCGCAGGATTCATTTGGCTCAAGATGGTGGGCACAAACTGGCACAATTTCACTGCAGCAATGCACGCAGAGATGTCAGCGTGACACACACACACACACACACACTGACTCATGTGTCAGCTGGTGCCGTCATGTCAGATAAACCTCGGATGTCAGAGTATGAGATGATTCATTTTACACTCCCTTTAGTGTTCACAGGGTTTGCGTTGAGACCAACAAAAACCACTTAACTAAGTAAAATTAGCATTTATTTTAGTATATAAATCTAAGAGTATGAAAATGACATATGCACAATATATGGTTTAAATTACTGATATCTAAAAAGGCATATTTTTAAATGATCAATTGGAAACCGATATAACGATTATAACTGATATAAATATAATGATTACGATGATTACATTAGCGCCCACACTAAACAACTATAATGTTCTTTTTATTATGATCTCACAAAATGTGAAATGACTATTTCCATTCGCTGCTCGCAGGATTCATTTGGCTCAAGATGGTGGGCACAAACTGGCACAATTTCACTGCAGCAATGCACGCAGAGATGTCAGCGTGACACACACACACACACACTGACTCATGTGTCAGCTGGTGCCGTCATGTCAGATAAACCTCGGATGTCAGAGTATGAGATGATTCATTTTACACTCCCTTTAGTGTTCACAGGGTTTGCGTTGAGACCAACAAAAACCACTTAACTAAGTAAAATTAGCATTTATTTTAGTATATAAATCTAAGAGTATGAAAATGACATATGCACAATATATGGTTTAAATTACTGATATCTAAAAAGGCATATTTTTAAATGATCAATTGGAAACCGATATAACGATTATAACGGATATAAATATAATGATTACGATGATTACATTAGCGCCCACACTAAACAACTATAATGTTCTTTTTATTATGATCTCGCACTGCAGATTTGTCATCTGCCTCTTTAAATGTGCGAGTTGGATGAATTCTGATTGGCTGATTGGAAGTTTTTATTGTTCATCAGCAAGAAAGAATCATTCTGAAAGTGATTCTAACGATATTGTTTCTCTGCGCCATTATTGTTATAATTGACTGGTATTCCGTATTCCAATAAAATTACAGCGATTATTAAACATTTATAATTTTAGTTATCATTACAGTTTGTGATTGGTGAGAAAGGGCCTTCAGAATGTGATTTTTTAAACTCTTTTTGTAAGCTAGGTTTGTAAGTGCAGCAGAATTAGTTTCACTTTTGGTGAAAATTTGTAGAAACTCCCAATTTTGCTGATTCCTTTAGAAATGACTAGATTTCGTTTGAAATTTTTTGTCGTGCAACAATAAATGTTATAATATTGGATAATATTTCAATGCTCGAGTTCATTTGAAATTTGGGATTAAAAATTTATCGGTAATCAACATTTAAAGGGGTCATATTATGCGATTTCAATTTTTCCTTTCTCTTTGGAGTGCTACAAGCTCTTGGTGCATAAAGAAGATCTGTAAAGTTGCAAAGACTAAAGTCTCAAATCCAAAGAGATATTCTTTATAAAAGGTAAGAGTCAGCCACGCCTACCTAAAACTGTCTGCCAGGTGAAAAATCAAAGTCATAACACCAATTATCTGGTGCAAATACATTTGAATAAACACGCTTTGTCTGGTGTAAAAATGAAGCTATCAAGAGGCCACATGCTGGGTAAACTCCCTCAGGACAGAAGCCTGACACCCACACATTACAGTGTAGAGAATAAGATCGAGGCCCTGTATAAAAATTTTACAATTTTAAATATTAAAATATACAATAATTATAATATGAAAAACGCTTTAATTAAACATTTTACAATTTAATAAAAATATTTAAAAATATAGAACTCATATATCATATAGAATACAGGATTGACATCATCAGGTGATTTTAATTAGTCTACCATTAATTTATGCAAATAAAGAGCATTTTAAAAATAGAATAGTCAATACAGGTTGATCAGTTACTGATTCTTAACATTTGGTCTCCTCTAAAATATTTTGGTTAGAAATATCTGAAAGATTCTAGAACATTCCAAAGGTCCATTATCCTGATTCATACCAAGAAATGCATTGTTTCAATTTTAAAAAATGCTTCAAATGTATCAAAACCCACCCTTAAAAGCCCAACCTTTCCGATTATTCAGAGGACATCAGAGACGCCTCTGGGATGTGGCCCCCATCCATTGTACAAGCTCTTTCTCTTTCTGCACTCTGTCCTAAACATCTCGACCACCTTATGGTTCATCTAAAATATCTAAAGCTATAAATATACCAGAAAAATCCCCACACCCATCATCGTGAACTAGGCCGAGGAATCATGTGTAGGGAATGTGGGGCCCCCATATGTATGAATGAATGAATGAATGAATGAATGGAATCCACCAAATTTTAAAGTGAAACCAAACCTGCTATCAATCAACCCCCCTCTTATCAAGCAGTGCACTCTGTCCTAAACATCTCGACCACCTTATGGTTCATCTAAAATATCTAAAGCTATAAATATACCAGAAAAATCCCCACACCCATCATCGTGAACTAGGCCGAGGAATCATGTGTAGGGAATGTGGGGCCCCCATATGAATGAATGAATGAATGAATGAATGGAATCCACCAAATTTTAAAGTGAAACCAAACCTGCTATCAATCAACCCCCCTCTTATCAAGCAGGTTTTCAGCTCTACTCACTTCTCGTTGGCCGCATCTGTCTGCATGCACAGAGATCGTCTGTGTGAAGACGCGCATCCTCCGGCGGCGGCTGTATTATTTTTCCAAAGGCGCCTTAGACTGGGCTTGCAGAACTCCTTTAACGCCCTCGAGAACCTAAACTGTAACATTTCAAACTCGACAAGCTAAACAGAATGATTTCCGACAATAACGCTAGTAATATTACACCGTATGTTATGAGAATGTCGCTCTTTCAGACAGTCGTGCCGATTTCTCCACTCGTCTCTCGGTGCGTATTTAGTATTCACGGGACAGAATCAAATCCGCCCACTGAAGCGCTGCTCACAGTCCATTGGTCGCAGTGACGTCAGAGCGAACGGTGATTGGCTTAGACGGGCGTCAATCATTATTATGACGCCAATCACTTCCCTGCGCTTGATGACGCGTTTCAACGGTCATCAGCGACGTAAATCCTCCAAAGATTTTTGTATCTTCATTTTTTTTATTATTATATACATTTATAATACTATACTTTGTATTATATTAATTTTACATCAATTACAAAAAATAAAATAAATAAATAAATAGTTGACGCTAATGCGATGGTGTTTTAATACGGCGTCTATGGGAGTGACGGTAAATTTGACATCGTTCTCTCTACTGACTGCCGATCTCTCTCAATGTTTTCCCTTTTTTAAATTTTTTTTTTGAAGTCGTGAAAACACTATCATGGCGTTTTTCTTTTGCTATTTGAGCAAATGGGAATGCACAAAATATATGTGTGGTAGTCAAAGCCGGAAATGTGAAAAGGTGCATACACTGCATCACAGATATTATGTATACATATCTATGCACTGCATACTGTGTGTGAGAAAATAATATGTCAAACCTTATGTAACAATAAGCATATTTCGCGGATGATATCACTGCGTCACGTATTCTTCAGCGACTGGAGTCCTGTTATGATCTCTAAAATCAATATTTTGAGCATACTTTTTAACATTTTTAATACGAATTTGTGTAAACACATGAAACTGCAAAAATACAATAACAAATACAAATCATAATTAATAATAATTTATATTCATTATAAGAATTAATGATTAAATAACAAAACTTAATATTATATAGGCTAGTATTAATATTTAATTGCTACAACAAATATGAACTATTAATAAATTATATCTTATAAAATATAATTTGAATATTTGTAATCCACTTTTTGCAATCTGATCAAATGTGTCAACTATATGTGTGTACATAATAGTTAAATACCTAAATATGAATTATAATGAATTATATTTTCTATAATTCATGTTTATAAATAATAATTCATAATAAAATGTTTGATATTTAATATTAAACTTGACTTATTTGTAATTTTTGCATACAGTCTGATCAAGTCAACAAGATTATAATAATGCTTTGTTAATTATAATATTATTTTAATTATTAAAACTATTATTAATTATTATAATGAACATTAATTATTAAAATCATATAATATCATATTATTCGTTTTTTTGTAATTTAAAATCCATTTTTTTGCAGTCTTGTGTGTGTGTGTGTGTGTGTGTGTGTTTATATGGATGAATTAATATTATTAATTTATATAAATTTTTGTTAACTAATTAGTAATATATTCATTAATATTAATATATGAAATAAAATTCATTAATATTTACTCTTTGCAATCTGAACAAATTTGCCAAGAAGATATTAAAATTAATATATGGATAAATAGCCTAGGCTATATATAAGCATGAAATAATAATAATAATTTATTAATATAATTTATTACTAATTATTAATACATTTCACCAGTTCATTGACATTATTAATTATTATCTTCTTGAACCATTTGTTTTGGATTGCAAATGCAAATAATATTTCAGCATATTATATAAAATTAATATTTATTATAAGAATAGTAGGCAGTATACAGTATTTATTGTGCTGTATGCTAGTATTATGAGCCAGCCACCTTAAAAATCATGATGGGGTTCATTTATCACTGGAAATACAACATCAAGCTGAGCACATTGCATTGTGGGATGCAGTATTCACACAGTGTGCTCTGTTTTACACACTGTGCACAGTATGACAGACATGCAGAAACAGTAAGAGTATGCTAGTATGCTATTTTGAACATATTCATGTAATGCTCCAATTATGGCATTTCTTAAATGGTGGAGTTCAGAAATAATAGTATGCTAATAGATGCGCTGACCTTCAAATGCAGGGCCATTAGCTGAGTATAACTGTTGGTCTGAGTGAGAGCAGTTTGCACATCTGTGATACAATATTATGCAAAATGACATCCATGCTGCCAGTTCATAGCATGATATTGACTGAGAAGAGAACCTGTGGATGCAGACTGTTACTCACCGAATGACTGGCCTGCTATTATGAGTATTATAATAGCTACAAACCCTGAAAGCCACGTGATCTAAAACTGTAGGGTTAGACGTCAGACTGAAGAATGTGACGCAGGAGTTACTGTTGAATGTGGATTCGAAACCCTTATGAAAGCCTGCTATGTCTGGTTTGCTTTCCTTGTGGGGACTCTAGGTGTAATGGTTTTTATACTGTACAAACTATTCTATATTTCATCGCCCTGCACCAACCCTACCGCTCACACAAAACTTTCTGCATTCATGTTAGTCGGTGTGCATTCAGGTTTACACACACACACACACAGGTTTGTTTTTATGGTTTATGGGGACTCTCCATAGGCGTAATGGTTTTTATACTGTACAAACCGTATATTCTATTGCCCTACACCAACCCTACCCCTAAACCTACCCTTACAGGAAACTTTCTGCATTTTTAGATTTTCAAAAAAACTCATTCTGAATTATTTATAAGCCTTTTGAATTACGGGGACACTGAAAATGTCCTCATAAATCACCTTCTCGTTGTAATACCTATGTCATACCCATGTTATTATACAAATTTGTGTGCTCATAAACCACATAAACATGCACACACACACACACACACTATAATACACATTATTAGCATATGAACACAACAAATATGTAATGTAATTAGATGCTATTACTCATCTTACACATATGCATTGAACATGAATCTTTCTCTAGAGGAAAGCGTACTAATATCTTAGGCTATCTTGCCACCTTGTGGGCAATTTAGAAAGTGACAGAATTGGACTTTTCTTCTAACTAGAAAAAGGTTACATAGACAAAATGAGAACAATACGTGTTCTAAGGGCTGTACACAATAATCATATAGGATTACGTTTCCATTTCTAACGTTAAAAGGATTTGAAACATATTCAAATATAAATAACACATTAAAATAATTACTGCACAATAAATCAAATACAACGAATCTATTAGTTAAATATGATTTAGTATTTGAGTAATATTTTATATTTTACTATACATTTAATACAATATTACAATAAAAATATTTTAATATATACATATGTATATATATATATAAATAATAGATTATATTTTAATGTTATATTGTATATATAATCTGAATATTGTTAATTATTATTTAGTATATTTAGTATAATATTTTAATTATTATTTTTGTTTTTGATCATTTCTTTATATTCTTCTTTATATTATATGATCATTTTTAATGCACGAGATAATTCAAGTGGATTTTAAAAGTAGTATATCTTAAATGAGGCAGCTCTAACTCACCCACTCTCACAAAACCAGTGTTTCCTCCATCATCCCACAGAGACGAGATCTACAGAGTGAGATATCAGGAAACACATGCTCACGGTTAAACCCAGTCATGTAGGAGAGCCCTGGTGGGAAACCTGCACTGTCAAACCAAAATAACGTTCAAGAAGGCTTTTATTAACGTTTTTCTTCTTCTCCTACTTCTTGAAGGAGAGCTGATGTTTTGTTTTTTTGATCACGAATCTTTAACCAAAAGAAGCCAAGCTCTGCATAAGTTTAAAAAAAAAATAAAAAATTTTAATAAAAAAAAATAATAATATATTTTTTTATTAAACATTATTCGAATACAAACACTTAAGGCATATTTTAACAATCATACATCTGTTTTTCCCCCGTGTTGAAACAGCATTTAAAGAAAAGAAAAAAAAACAATACAGAGAAAAAAAAATTATAATAATAAAAAGGGGGTGAGGGTCTTAATCTAATAACATGTATAAGTCCAAAGCAGAAAGAAGTTTCAAAGCATTTCTGTCCATCATCCATTGAAGGGATTTTGCAAATAACTTCAAATCATTCTTCAATCCAGTGAAATTAGGTTTAACCTTTAAATACTTACATCTGTGGATAAAGTGTTTGCCTAACACAATCAGGAAGCTCTGCATAAGTGCATCTAACTCTATCCCACTTCCATCAAGACAAAGCCTGTGCTGTAACGGAGTGTTGGCTGTGAGCCGCAGCGCTGTTCGCAATGTTTCCGCCCACATTCAGGCACCGCCCACACAGCTGGGTCACACAGTGATCTCTCCGCTCACACACACACACACACACACACACACTCACACTCCCACACGGGGCTTCTGTAGGTGCTGTCACTCCCGAGGAACACGAACACCCGTGTAGGGCTGTGTGTGTGTGTGTGTGTGTGTGTGTGTGTGTGCATGGAGCGTGGGCGCATTTTTTAGCATTAACGTATGAGTGTGACATTAACAGAACAGGAAGCTGCTTGGATCAGCTCGATTTTGTAAGCTGCTTCCAGATTAAGAACCGTGTTTTTCAGGCCGCCTCTATAAATAAACAGTTTTAAGTTGTTAGCTTATTATTTCATTATTATATATATATATATATATATATATATATATATATATATATATATATATATGTACGCCGAGAATAAGGCTAGAGTTGCTGGTAACAAATACACAAACTTTTCTTCCTAATACTAACATCTAAACTGACGCAATCGCAAAAACACGCAAAGCTAATTCTACATATTCAGTATTCTTTTACGTTAAGTTCATCCTCAACGACAAACCGATACGAACAGATGAATGTCATCATTTAACCTTATCAACTAATCTAAGGACTACACAACCGTTTTCTACGAAACTCCAGTGTTTCCATTGAATAACGAATAGCTTAAATAAAAATAGTTACGAATAAGACATGCTATCAAATAAACAAACACAGATTATGTACAAAAAAAATGCACAAATACACTCTTGGACAATTTCTCTGTGTACACCGACTGCAAGACATTCATGTTTTTTGCTCTAAAATTAGAAATAAAAATAATTCTTAAGAATTAAAAATCTAAATAAATGGATCTCTAGGCATTTACAGTTCTTAAGGCCACACAGTTTCAGTACTAAATCCACTGAGCAAACAAAACGCAGGTTTCACTTTGAGGCTCAAGATGTTATCTGGAGTCCTCTGGTTCTGATTTGATGGTCTTCTTTTCCAGAAGCCTGGGCTCCTTCTGAGACCCATTTTCTGAAATACAAATGAATGTAAAATTCAATTTAAAATGTATTGGTTAGCTTGCACCTAAAATACCTAAAATGACAATAAAGAAATTGAACCAAGGTTTTCACATTTTTCTTCAAACTTGAGTTATAAAATGAGGCAATATGAAAACCAAGCAAAAGTACAACAAATGTTTAGCACCCTCAGGCCATCCAAGATGTAGATGAGCTTTTTTTTGCTCATCGGAACAGATTTGGAGAAATTTAGCGTTACATCACTTGCTCACCAATGGATGCTCTGCAGTGAATGGGTGCCGTCAGAATGAGAGTTCAAACAGCTGATCAAAACATCACAATAATCCACGCCACGCCACTCCAGTCCATCAGTTAACATCTTGTGAAGCGAAAAGCTGCATGTTTGTAAGAAACAAATCCATCATTAAGGCGTTTTAACTTAAAATCGTCACTTGAGGCCAAAATACAACTCCATAATCCATAATAAGTGAAAAAGTCCATCCCCTGTTGTCCTCTCACATCAAAATCCCTGACATGTTTGTTTAGAGCTGTTTTTTTTTACTGGTTTCGTTTGTAAACAAACTTGATATGTGCATATTTCTCTCCCGATTCAGAAAAATGACTTTTTCCATGTTTGTAAGAAACAAATCCATCATTAAGGCGTTTTAACTTAAAACCGTCACTTGAGGCCAAAATACAACTCCATAATCAATAATAATAAAAAAAAGTCCATCCCCTGTTGTCCTCTCACATCAAAATCCCTGACATGTTTGTTTAGAGCTGTTTTTTTTTTACTGTTTTCGTTTGTAAACAAACTTGATATGTGCATATTTCTCTCCCGATTCAGAAAAATGACTTTTTCACTGGATAAAACAATATTATTGGATCGAGGAACTGTATGTGTATGCAGCTTTTCGCTTCACAATACATTAATTGATGGACTGGAGTGGTGTGGATTATTGTGTTGCTTTTATCAGCTGTTTGGACTCTCATTCTGACGGCACCCATTCACTGCAGAGGATCCATTGCTGAGCAAGTGATGCAATGCTGAATTTCTCCAAATCTGTTCTGATGAAGAAACACATCTTGGATGGCCTGAGGGGTGATAAAATATTCAGCAAATTTTCATTTTTGGGTGAACTATTCCTTTAAATTGTATGTGCACAGAGTAAAAAAACAAACAAACAACAACAACATAATGGAGCATGTTTTACAAGTAAATACTTTTCTTTCTACTTCAAAATGTCATGTTTAATTCAGTGTGTTACTTGCCATTTCTTTGTAATTGTGATATTTACTAGCAATTTTTGAATAATAATCATTTCAACAGCACTTTTTTTCAGTGTTTCTGGTGCATTGTGTGGTTTAAAAAACTATTTAACAAGAGTAAAAGTGCAATCAATTATCATATCAATTCTCATATCATAACAGTTTCAGTATGCTGGAATTTTCAACACATTTCAGCCATTGCCAGTAAACAAACACATAGCGTAAGAGCTTACGCCAAAATAAAGTATGGTACTTTTTAGTGTTTCAAATCTATGTCACCAAATTAACAGGGGAGGGTATTAAACGTATTTTTCAGATATTCAAATCAGTTCAAAAGACCAGTGTGATCAGTAAATGACACTGATTGACATCAGGCTCTGCCCACATTGGGGCGGAAGAAAAACCCAAAACGTCAAAAAGACGAGTAAATCCACACCCCCTTCCTCACCTACTCGCAGTGTACTAACGCAGCTTGCACAGGGCAGGTAGGAGTTTCAGAGAGAAAGTGCTACCTTCATCGAGGACATTTGCATGCAAGAGATTGCATAAATTACAAAAAGTTCTCTGAAGCCCTGCTGATACGCGCGTTACGTTGACACATCAGAGTTTAATGGAGCGGTGTAGGTGTCAATGTGCCAGGATGATACTGAGATAAACCTGTGCCAATCCAGGCTACAACATGCATGCAAAAACAGCGTCCAACAAGAGCCATTTTAATCTGTACAGCGTTTCTCCGCTGGTTCTTTAAAGATTAACGCTCTACCTCGACAGCATTTGAAGGCTGTTCCAAAAGGTAGGTGGCAACATTACGCTGCCTTCAGGGATACCACGTTTTGGCCAAATTTGAAGGCAGAACCACATGGCTCCTTTGTGGATAGTGTGGCAATCCCAGAATGCATTTTGACTAGAGTAAAACTAGACTAAAGTAGAATATGAGCTTTATCTTTATATATTTAGATGACTTGTGATGTGCCGAATGACATATGAATGTATAAATAATTGAATAATAAAAAATATTTATATTATACAAGCATCTAAAGTAGTGATGCAATATTGCAAGGAAAATAGTATCACAATATATTTATTAATGATTGTATCTTCATATCCATATAATGTTTCAAAAGTAGTCACTTAGGGGGTTATACAGTATACACTAATATTCACGGGTTTGGGGTTGGTAAGATTTTTTTTAATGTTTTTGAAAAAGTCTCTTCTGCTCACTAAAGCTGCATTTATTTGATCAAACATGCATTTTTATTTTATGTTATATTATTACAATTTAAAATAATGGTTTTCTATTTTAATATATTGTACAACATAATTTATTCTTGTGATGCAAAGCCAAATTATTCAGCATTATTCCTCCAGTCTTCAGAGTCACATGGTCCTTCAGAAATCATTCTAATATTCTGATTTTTTTAAAGAAACATTTCATACGATTATTAATCGAGCAGTTGTGCTGCTTAATATTTTTGTGGAAACCATAATACGTTTTTTAAAATTCCCCGATGAATAGAAAGTTTAAAAGAACAACATTTATTTGAAACAGAAATCTTTGGACACAATGAAAGTGAAAGTGACAAAAAGTGAAAGTGACGTGACATGTGGCCAAGTATGGTGACCCATACTAGGAATTAGTGCTCTGCATTTATCCCATCCTAAGTGCACACACACAGCAGTGAACACACACACACCCGGAGCAGTGGGCAGCCATTTATGCTGCGGCGCCCGGGGAGCAGTTGGGGGTTCGTGCAAATGCTTGGTAAACAGTTCTTAATGTATAGAAAATGTGTTGTATGAATACACACAGCTCAAATATAAGAGTTACAATAAAGCTGAAGTATTTTATTTTTTACATTGAATTTTTTTTTTTTTACTTATTTATCCTCCTGACAAACAATTTGTGTGAAGATTGATCATAAAACCATTTTAAAAGCAAAGCTCACTGACCTCAAATATAAAGGAAATAGTAAAGCTAAGTAAATATAGTATTTTATTTTTAAATAAAAATTTATTATTAAAATAATATTCACTTTTTTGAGTTTTGGATGCATATAATCCTAAAGAACAATTTTTTTTGTGAACTATTCATAAACCCATTTTTAAAACCACAAAGCTCATTGACCTCAAATATAAAAGATCCAGTAAGGCTAAATGAATATGGCATTTTATTTTTGAATTTAAATTTAGTATTACACAAATACGCAAAAAATTGACAATTGACCAATTGTTCATAAAACTATTTTTAAAACCATAAAACACACCGACCTCAAAAGTACAGTATAGTAAAGCTTACATTTTTTTTACATTTAGCATTTTTTTCTTTATATTAGAATAATTTTAGCAATTTTTTTGAGTTCTTAAATGCACAAATATTATTTTATCCTTTTTTTATCGTGGTAAAAAAAACTTCTTCATCAACAATCTTTCTCTGCCATGGCAATGTTCCTGTTTGTTTCCAACTAGTATTTTTTTTGTTATTCTAACAGATCGGCCGTTGTCACCTTTGAACTAATTTACACTTCGTGTCGCCCCTTGACAACCTCCGCATTTTCCTCTGAGGTCATCACGTATATGTGTGTGTGTGTGAGTGAGCTTGTGTGTCCACGTATGACGTATGACGTTAGACTCAGACAGAGACAGCTACAGCCATGCGTGGGTAATTCAGTAAGCACCCACAGGATGATGTCAATTATGTGTTTCAGTTCACTGTGTACTTCTCCGCCTGTGCAGATGAATGATTGCACGTTTGTGTACTAACTAAGCATTTCTTCATCCAGAGAACCCCACAAAAACAACTTCCGTTAAAAACAAGCTTTTAAAAGCGAGCTAAAATTGATCACAGTTTTAATTTAACATCTTGAGAGCTTTGTTTGCAACGGTTTTGTTGAATTAGAGGCCCCACGGAGCTTCGAAAACAACGATATCATTTACTTTGAGATGTTTACCCAGAGGCGAAGACCGTCACTCATGGGAAAAGCTGTGTGAACGTGACATTTCGGAGTGAATAATGACAGTAATTACTCTCCTGAGATTATTAACAGAGAGAGTGCACACACAAACACAGCGCTAATTCAGACGCAGTGGGAAGGCAGCTGGCAATAAATATCATTACAAGAATGCAAAACTAATAAAGAAGTCCCGAGAAACCACCTGGAGCTCGAAATGATTGCAAAGCTGAGGCGTCTCATGCAAATAGAGCAATCTGTCACCGTGAGGTTTATGAATATGAGCTGAATCTACAGAACTTGTTTAAACTTACTTCAGATTTGATCCTCTTGGGAGATGGTTCATTTTCATCACCACAGTGGGACCTGAAATGAAGATGTATTTTGAGTTCTATACTTATTTTGAAACACCATAAACAGTCATTGTGGTAAAACTTTTCAATTAAATAACAAAAACTAGTGAAAGTACTAAAAAGATGGCATTTACTGTACAAACAGATGCTCCTTAAATGACTAAATAGAGACCAAGAAAAGTGTCTAAAAACCAAAATCAATTCTTTGTAACAATTTCATGAATGTATGTCTGGTATTATGATGTTTGCAAATGCTAATGTACTCCATAAAGTTAAGTTCTAACAGGATATTGAACAAAAAATCTTGATTGCAAGGTCGTATTTCCAAAAAACGAACGCTCTTTAGAACAAGAAGTTCCCTCACCCAATATTCCCGGCCACTATTTATACAAAAGCAAGCTAGTCCTCAATATGTCAACAGAGGAAAGTGTTAATAAACGATTTTAACAACTGTTTTTCTATAGAATCAAACATTAAGAAGAATTGTGTCTTACCTGCTGCTCCTGCGGGTGTATTTGTAGGTAACTTCGCGTGAAATCTGCCTGGCCAGTGAGAAAAGTTCATCTCTTCGGGTCAGCAGCGATAGATCTTTCATGCACAGCTGAGCGGATGCTTCATTGACCGTTAGCTACACGATAAATGAAACGACAATGAAAACATCAATTGTTTAGTACCATACACTCTTAAAAATAAAGGTTCCACAAGGGGTTTTCACAGCAATGCCAAAGAAGAACCATTTTTGTTTCCCCAAAGAAACATTCAGTAAAAAGTTCTTTAAAGAACCATTTTTTACTGAAGTGGTTTGTGGAATGGAAAGGTTCCATGGATGCTAAAAGTTCTTCATGGAACCACAGATACCAATAGAACCTTTATTTTTAAAGGTCCCCTGAAATGCTTAGAAACATGCAGCGTTACTCTATGTGTTGACGTCATTTTAACTGAAACAGAAAGACGGGGCGGGACATATCAAGCAGCCCCGCCCCTTTTTAAAATAGCCAATAGCGTTTGTTTATATCACAGCTTGGGCTAGAGCCATTCAGAACCGTTGAGCTCCGTAAAGCCGCATTTGACAGGGTATGCCAGCCACAATCTCATCCATATTGCTATAAAATATAGCTCGCGCATGTGATCCGCTCCATGCTATGGTGTCTCTGGACCGGAGCAGAGTGTGTGTGTGCGGTGCGGTGCTTAGCGTGACAGCGCAAAACCAGACTTATTTTTTTCCTCAATGGAAAGCATATTTACACTGTTTGAATCGTTCCCTGTCCCCTATATAGTGCACTACGTGCCATTCACTGTACAGAAAATACTAATTCTGTGGACAAGTGACCGATTTCAGCCGCGGCTTCAGCATCTATTTTATAGTGTAGGGGGCAGGCGCTTCGGATTCTAGAGAGCATTTGATTGGACAGAAAGTTTGATGAGAAGCTGAAATACAATGTGACGTCAAAAAAAATCGTCGGCGGAAGTGACGAACTGCAAGCTTTGAATGCTTATATCTTCTAAATGCACATTTTGTCGCTGTTTTGGAGCACACTGCCTTATAGATAAACTTAAGACTAACATATTGATACTAACACCCAAAAAACTTTCATTTTGATTTCATGGGGACTTTAAGAATGTCAGGAACAACAATTTCTTTAATCCACACAATCAACAATATCGATATCTTATCATTCGAACCAACCAGAAGAATCAAACCAACCTCGTGCATCGTAAGCTGCCGGCCGTCCCGCCTCTTTGAATCGAACCGCCCATAGATGGCGCTGTATTTCCGAATCTCCGCCTCCTTCTGCGGATTGTCTTCGCTCAACTCGCAGATGTGGCCGATCATCTTGCTGAGCTTCTTATTGGCGCGGATGTGTTCTTTGACTTCCGTGAGGTCGATCTTGGACAACGTTTGGGCTAGTCGCTCTACGCACTCCATCACGCACTGGACAGCGGCAGAATCGAGAGCATCGAGAGTGTCGTGAGGTGAACACGGAGAACAGGCTCCAGATGGAGATAGGCTGTGCTCGCTCTCGCTTCCCCAGAAACGAGTCTCGCTAGCCCCTTGCAGCGGGGAGCACCCTGGCGTGCCGTCCCTGCTTAGCTCCAGTCTTCCAGGACTGGGGCTTGTGGGTAATAATGCCCTGGGCACCGCAAGCTGGTTCTGTTGCCCATTGCTGTGGGAACTTTCGGGTAGCTTGTACACTGGTATACTGCAAACAGGAAGAGACGTCAACGGTTGGTTGAAGATGGAAGGGTTGGTGACCCAATCCCGCAAAGCCTTCTGGAGTCTTCGAACGTGAAGGGGTTTGGTCGCCATTCCGACAAGGGCCATGATCTCGAGGAACTCTTCCTCACCAGCCTCACAGAGCTGCTTCACATCGTCGCCGCCCTGCTGGATGAAGGCTTCGTAGTAGCAGAGCAAATTTGCCTTCTGCAGGATCCGGTACAGTTGCAGCTCGCCCAAGGACCGTGGCAGCAGTACTGACATGGCTACACATGCAAACACAGAGGAAAACATAGCATTGCCATTCCCAGAAAATGTTTCAAGCATGAAGCAATGCTCGCCAATGTTATTTATTTCCCAGGACAGGTCTGCAAACTCACACTATGACTGTCACAATTAGTCTCCAGTTGCAATGTTATTTTACTATACACTCTTTCAAGAGTTCACACTTACATATAATAAATAGAGTAAAAGTTATGCATATTTGGCGTGCTGTCCGAGGGGGGCGCTCCGAGCTCGAAATTTGGTCCAAACCCAGAGTACCCCCCCCCCCCCCCCTCCCCGGTTGGGATAGGAATAGTTAGAAGTGAGGAGATGGGGTGGTGGAGGGATGCTGGAAAACGGTCAAGGAACAGAGGTAAGTCTGCTGTGTATATATACCTCTTATCTTGTTAACTTATGTGCTCCTCTCGTGTTAATTAGGCTAATTATCTGAACGTGCTCCTCTCAAACTTTGTAAACAAAACATAATTAAGAATAAAGGTTCCAAATAGGTGTTTTTGCAGCAATGCTCCAGAAGAACCATTTTTAGTTCCCCAAAGAACCTTTCAGCGAACAGTTCTTTAAACGACATTTTAGTAATCTAAAGATTCTTTTCAAAAAGTTTCATGGATGTTAAAGGTTCTTCATGGAACCATCGATGCCAATAAAGAACCTACATTTTTAAGAGTGTAAATCATTTGTAAAGCCGATGTGTTTTTGTTTGCATCTCCGGTAAAGGAGAGCGACAAAACCACTTAAAAAAAATTAAAGGTTCTTTACTGGGATCAGTGGTTTGATGAAGAACCTTTAACAATCCATGGAAACTTTCCATTGCACAAAAGGTTCTTTATAGTGGAAAAAGTTCCTCAAATTATTACAATGTTCTTTACACCAAGAAAAAATGCTTCTTTTAGGAACTGTTCACTGAAAGATTCTTTGGGGGAGCCTAAAATGGTTCTTCTATGGCATTGCTGCAAAAAAAGTGAAGAGCATTTATCCATCACTTACTGACCATGATGTGATGTATAATTATTAAGCTACTCATAATGGAAAAAGGATTGCCAAAACATTTGGAGGGAACATATTATATGGACTGCCCAAGGCTACAGTGTATAACAACAAAATAAAAAATGAACAAAGATAAAGTAAGAAAAAATGATTGATAATTCTGACTCAGTGCACATAGTTTTATCTGGAATAGTACTTAGTCAGGTTAGTGCCATATTTCATTTTTGACAAGAATCCAAACAAGGCTGCGAGAGATAGAAGTACAGTGTTCAAAAGATTGTGCTTTTGTTTAACAACATGACAACTGATTAGCTGATGAAAAACACTGCCCAAAAAAATTGTGCAAATTACATGATCTAGTACCGGCACAGTTTTCAACCATGTAATATTCAGTAAGCCCTGACTAAGGTCTATACATCATATCCAGTCAGACAGTCACATAATGTTTAGTCACAGAAATTGCAAACTTTCAGTGCATTCGAAGCTCAAATTCGATACGAAAATGTGGCTGTATCCGCAAAAAAAGATGTTATTGTTAACATGATTGTTTTTTAACATTGAAAACCTATACACTTTCCTTTTAAGTACTTATTTAGCAGATGTTTTCATTCCAAGTGTCTTAATTTATACTTACTACAGGTACAATCCACTTGGCACAACCAGGGTTTGAGTGCCTTGCTCAAATGCAACTTATTGACCGGATCTTTCAACATTACACCACATTTCAATGCAATTACGAATAGGCTGTCACATACAAGTTTACACTGTTGCAAACACAGCTGTGCATTACACTATTCTCCACAAAATCATGGACAGGTTCCTGCAAACTCACCTGAGAAGATCTCAAAACTATTGCCTCGCATGCACCTGGGAATCTCTTCGAGATCAATGCATGCAAATAACTCGGATATTGTCTATATACCCAATTAGCTCAGAACAACACGCTTTGACAATCTACCAATCTCAAAACTATTGCCTCGCATGCACCTGGGAATCTCTTCGAGATCAATGCATGCAAATAACTCGGATATTGAGTCTATATACCCAATTAGCTCAGAACAACACGCTTTGACAATCTACCCTCCCCATCTGAATGGCTATGTATGAAATGTTTATGTCCACGTACCTCTCTTTCGCATCTGGTGCGCGCGAGTGCTCCCGGTGCTCGCCGCTGTCTCGAGACAGCGCTCCGCCTCTCGCGAAGGAGAGAAAGTGCGTTGAAGACTCATCTGTGCTGTCTCTCTCTCGCTGAGTGTCTCTCTCTCTTGTGCGGGGATATTCCGATGTAAGCTGCATTGCTCTCTCACTCCCACGCGCCGGTTTGACGCAAATCCTCGCGTGGGCGACGCTGCGCGCGTGGGACGGAATACCGAGAGAGAAAGAGAGAGAGAAGACCTAAACGGTCACACACGGCAAAATACACATTCACGATGACATATTGAGGAATATTAATCGGTAATACAGTGTTTTTTTTTTTCAACATGAACCCACACCGCTTTCAGTACAGCATATGCGTGTATTTTTGTGGTGGCCATGTTCATACATGTAAATAAGAGAAACCCGGGAAAGTTGTCGAACTTTTTAGTACAGTAAATGTTCACCTTGGTAGTTGACTTTTGATAGTACATTTTGGTGTAAATAAATACTTCAAAATGTAAAAAATAAAACGGTTTTCGGTGAAATAGTTCCGCCAAAAATGAACATTTGCTGAAATTTTACTCACCCTCAGGCCATCCAAACTGTAGATGACAATTTGTTTGTTCATCACAAAAAATTTGGAGAAATGTAGCATGAAATCACTTGCTCACCAATGAATCCTCTGCAGTGAATGGGTGCCGTCAGAATGAGAGTCCAAACAGCTGATAAAAACATCACATTAATCCACAAGGCTCCAGTCCACCAGTTAACATCTTGTGAAGAAAAAAGCTGCACGTTTGTAAGTAACAAATCCAACATTATGGCGTTTTATCTTTAAAGGGGTCATATGATGTTGCTAAAAAGAACATTATTTTGTGTATTTGGTGTAATGAAATGTGTTTATGCGGTTTAAGGTTCAAAAAACACATTATTTTCCACATACTGTACATTATTGTTTCTCCTCTATGCCCCGCCTTTCTGAAACGCCTCGTCTGGAAATAGATGACCTCTAAAATAAATCTGCAAAACATAAGGAAAAAGAGAGGGAGCGAGAAAGAAAAAGGGGGGTGGCGTTGAAAAACAAAACAAAACAAAAACTAAGATTCCTTTCATTTGCTCTGCCTATGCAAGTCAAGTGTGTCTTCCTACTCAAACACACCCACACACTTGGCCGCCCACGCATATATGCACATACACATATACATAGGAACTCTGTGACGCGCAAACACATCCTGGTTTGAGTGTGTGTGTGTCTGTGTGTATAGGGGCCCCCTGCTCAGAGTGGGTGTTGTCATTGCAGGGTAGGGCTGTTGACAGGGTACGTGTGGGTTTGCGGTTTTTAATGGTTAAGCTGACAGTTACTCAGAGAATCCTCTTTCTTCCTTCTTTGTGGCATGCAACTTCACGCTCACATTCAGATGTAATTAACTGACTCTAGTTTTAATATGCAGAAGACAGTTCTGTCTATAATGCTTTGGTGAACTTGTCTGAGAGAGTCAAACAGTAATGAAGTGATGGGTTTCATGGCTGGAATAAATAAATAAAGGTAATTTGCTATGAATCAGGGAGAGTTTGAAGCTGCAATATGCAATATATATACATACACATACATATTGCATATTGTAATAAAAATCAAATGTAATTTGTGTGTATGTACAAACCCAATTCCAAAAAAGTTGGGACACTGTACAAATTGTGAGTAAAAAAGGAATAGAATAATTTACAAATCTCATAAACTTATATTTTATTCACAATAGAATATAGATAACATATCAAATGTTGAAAGTGAGACATTTTGAAATGTCATGCCAAATATTGGCTCATTTTGGAAATAATAAATAACAGTAAATAATAATGTATGTCATATAAATGTAATTTATTTGAGTAATTATTTACATTACATGGGTTCACATTTAGTACATATTTAAAATACAATTGAAATAAACATCATACATTTACATAAAAATTATTTTTTTTACATTTAGCAAATAAATAATAAATTAAATTATTACAATTGTATACATGTACAGCATGCTTCCATCTTAGAAACATTGCCAAGTTACGAAACATGTTACCTGTTTCTGATGCAGAAAAGCTAGTTCATGCATTCATGACCTCTAGACTGGACTATTGTAATGCACTGCTAGCTGGTTGTCCTGCATCTTCAATAAACAAGCTACAGGTAGTCCAAAATGCATCGGCTAGAGTCCTTACCAGGTCAAGAAAATATGATCATATTACCCCAATTTTACAGTCTCTGCACTGGCTACCTGTTAAGTTCCGTATCAGTTACAAAATATTATTACTTGCCTATAAGGCCCTTAATGGGCTAGCTCCTGCGTACCTAACTAGTCTTCTACCACGCTACAATCCATCACGCTCCCTAAGGTCGCAAAACTCTGGACTTTTGGTAGTACCAAGGATAGCAAAGTCCACTAAAGGAGGTAGAGCTTTTTCGCATTTGGCTCTCAAACTCTGGAATAGCCTTCCTGATAACGTTCGGGGTTCAGACACACTCTCTCCGTTTAAATCTAGATTAAAGACACATCTCTTTGGCCAAGCATTCAAATAATGCATCTCATAATCTTGTACTGCAGTTATATCTGATCAAATGCGCATTATTATTCTTTAGCTTGGGTTAAACAAATCAATTTTGCTTTGTTGGAACAGCAGCTACGCCAATTATGTCTCTATTTGTTTCTCTGTGCCACGGGATTGACATAAACTACCACTAAATATTGTAGAAACTTAATTTGCTGTAAAGTTGCTTTGCAATGATTTGTATCGTGACCTCAGTGAGTTGATGATTTTCACTTGGCAAACAAGAGGAAAAATCCCATAGATTTCATTGAAGGAGTGACCCAAGGCATGTCTAAAAGAGCCAGAATATCCAAAAGACTCGGGCCAGTTATTAATCACCTAGCAAAACCCTAGCAGCTGAATAGGAATGGCTAAAAAACACCTTAGCAACTGCATAGCAACGTGCTAAAAACGACATAGAAAACCTTAGCAATCAAGTGTGCCACACACGTCTTGAAAAGTGAAGCCAAAACATTTCGATCGCCATCTGGTGGCTGGCTGCAGTATAGGCCATGAACCCCACCCTCTCCATGTAAACGAATGGGACGGGAGACAAACAAAAAAATAATAATCTAATAACACTTTTTTTAAAAATTCCCAAAGACGGTTTCCATCATTTTTGGTAGATCTTATCATGCTGATGTATGTTGAAGTGTTTATTTTTCTAATAACTTAAGTTTGATTTTAGTTATTTGATGCTATAAAATGGGGTGTGGCATCCTGATTTTGATAACGTGGCTCCACTTCACAATCACTACTGTACTGTGCAGACTCTGGCTCCAAATGAAGTCTATGGCCCTGTCCTAAATTGCACCCTAAACCCTTGCGGTCTTCCTCTGAGGCCACACTTTCATCAAGTAATGCCGCTTTGACTGTTGGGTAGAAGACTGCAGCGGAGCTCGCCTCAGTGTGCATCGAGTGTGCATAGCAGCCGCAAAGGGGGCGCTCACGAGCACCCTTCTGAAAGCTAAAATATCGGACAAGCTTATGTGGCGGCCATTGTAAGTCCGCAAGAGCACAAGAAGTGTTCCATTTGGGACAGGGCCTATTTTGCAAGATGACAGCGGCCATTCTGGGATATTTTGGCTTCACTTTTCTGTAGTGGAAGGAAGTGTAGACGTGTCGTCCATATTTATTTTATTTTATTTTTTACAGCCTATGGTAGCAAAAGCATAGCAACGTGCTAAAAGCAAGTAGAACACTGTAACAAAGTTTGTAGTTACGGGAGGAACATTTAAACAAAACTTGAATGATCAAATAAACAAAAGTAAAGTAAAGCGACAGCCCTTTATGGAAGAATGCCACATAAAACAACATAAAATGTCCCAGGCCTAGTCCTCTCTCGTCTCGCACTGTTGTCACTCCTTCTTTTATCCTTCCGGAGCTCCTCCGTGGGACTCGAGACCAGTGAGTGGCGCAGGTGTCGCTCATTATCATTTACTCCACCGGCCTCGCTCTGCACCCATGGCTCTCGGCCCCGCCTCACTCGTCACAAACACCTTAACAATTGTATAGCAACATACTGAAAACCACTCAGAACAACTTAGCAACTGCCTAATAACTTAGCAACTGCATAGCACCATACTAAATACACTTAGAACACAACAAAACACTTTTAAAAGTTTTACATATTTTGATTACCAGAAAATGATCAGTACCATAATGCTACTTTAAAACGTTACATTTTTCTCGCGCACACAATTATACAGCCAAAATAAAACGTTTTGGAAATAATCTGCAAATATCTCCCTGATATGTTTTCTTTAAGTAGCTGCCAAAATGATGTGTCAAGGGATGTTATCACATCATAACATTTTTTTCAGCGTTCTGAAGAAGCATATTTATTATCTTAAAAATAAGCTTTATGTAGTAAGTACATAGGACAAAAATGACGGCACAACCTTTCCATTGACTGCATAGCAACATGCAAAGAAAATCACTCGGAACACCTTAGCAACTACACTGCAACAACCCATAATACTCACAATGTCACATCTTGGTTGCAGGTACATAGCAATACAGTATTTTAAAAACATTTCTGAATCATATTATATATATAGCAAAACCATAAAACTAAAAACACTTTGCATATATGAAAATACCTGTCTGGTAAGTTTTCTGCAACGTTCTTCAAATTGTTGGAATAACTATGAAAACAGCACAAGATCAAACTGCAATGTTAGTGGCACATAAAAAAAATAAAAATAACAGCATACATTTCAATGAAACTTTTCACAAAGTTTCAGGATGTGCTAATAAATGTGACGTTTTTTCAGTATTCTGAAAAAAACAAGCAAATATATAGTTAAATAATAACATCTGCCATATTTTTTTTATTTATTTTCAGGAAATGTAGATGTCTAAATTCACCATTTTGTCACCTCTAAAGCCCCCTTAAGACTAACGAAGTGAATTAATCACTTGAAAACCATCAGGAACCTCTACCTGCTACAGTTTTGACATTTCAAAGGCTTTATCTCGACATGAAAGCTTCCGCATGCGACATTGCTTCACAAAGAACCGAGAAAAGGAACAATGGAAATTCTGAGATCTGACAAACAAAAGACTCATTAGACAAGAGCAACATAATTAAAGATAATAAACTCAATCGCCCCTTTGAAATGCAGTAAACACATCAGGCGTGGTGATTATCATTTGGAGGCTTTGATGTTTGGCCCTTCAGCTCTGAGAAATGAGGCCCATGAGAAAACGGCTCCGCCCACAACTCCGCCCACCACACTGGAGGAAATCCTGAATCAATTAATCAGGCCGAGAAAATAAGCCATAAATTTAACGTGATTCAACACAGTAACTCAAAATGAACTGAAACCCTGGCAAGCAAACCTTTTCCTGAATTTGGTCTAACCTGAACATCAACCTCAACCCAAAATGGCAGCAAAACATAAAAACTCAGGGTTTCATCTCAACGACCAGTTTGACTAAGGCGAGTCTCCAACTCAATAATGATTCGAACAATATCCGCAGTCCAATCCTCAGTAGATCCATTCGCCTTTCACACCACTGAGCGTGACTCACTTTTCTTGTATTCCAGCTCAGTGCGCATAATAAATTCATAATTTCTGTTTATATGACATCTTC